CTTCTGCAGCTGGAGGCCATCTCCCCCATCTGCAACCTGAGGCTGTGCTGTGCCATGCAGTGGTGATAAGGGACTCATTTAACATAATGATATAAGTGGGGACCTGGATTCACCTGGCTCAGAAGTGGCCACTGACATACTCTTGTGAACAAAGTAATGAACCTCTGGATTCCGTAAATGTGGGAAATTTCTTATGTAGCTGAAAAAGTGTTGTTTTCGCAAGGACCAAGTTCCATGAAGTTGGCAATTTCCATATAAAAACAACTGTTCTAATTTCAAATGTCAGATATGATAATGTGGCATGCCTGCTTAAAGCCAGAATCGTGAAGCCAGCACAGCCAGCCACTGCTAAGGAATGGCTCTCAAAACATGCCTGTTGCTTGACATCAGATTCATAACATGTAACAATCGAGTAACTGCGAAGCAATGGGCCGCGCCATAGCTCAAGCAGTTACTCACTGGCTTCCCACCGCAGCAGCCCGGGTTTGATCCCGGGGCTGGTCAAGTGGGATCTGTGGTGGACAAAGTGGCGCTGGGGCAGGTTTTCTCCGAGTACTACGGTTTCCCCTGCCAATCTTCATTCCACCAATTGCTCCACAATCACCCTCACCTATCATCTGGGGCTGGTACAATAGGCCAGAAGTGGTCACAGTACAAGGGACTTAGTTCCACACCACTAGCAATAAAAAAAACTGGGAAGTGGTGTTCCCTATGTGGTCCATGCTGATAACTACATGATGCACCAACAGAAGAACTACTGGGAGAGATATTTCCTATGTGGTCTGTGCTGCAATAAAAAGGGAACCCAGTGTCTGCAGGTATGAATGGACCGCCCTGTTCCTGGAGTATATAAATATGGGGACCTGGCCCTCCAGGTTCGGGGAGTCTCAAATTTGAGACAGCAAAATAAAGTGATGAGACTTGCAGGACTCTTGACCTGAGAATGACTGTGCTTGTGAGGTGCAGCATCAATTGTAAATGATAGACCCATCCTCTCATCAGGGAGCACCCCACATAAAAAAACCCCACAACTGTACGACAGTAAGAAAAAGCTGGTCTTGGGCCTCAGATGGGACTTGACAAAAAGACTGGCAGACTGACCATCAGTCATTAACACAACTTTGACTCTAACTCTGATTTGTGTTAGTTTGGCAGTTGTAAGCCAGTTGAGCTTAGGAACTGAAAGGTGCCAGCCAGCCAAGGACAGGAGCTGTTGGACATGGAAGGTGAGGACACGACGCCATTAGAAGCTGCTACCAAGCAACGCAGTGAAGACCATGACTGAGAAAACCAGTCTGTGTGTGACAGAGATATGTGAAGTGTAGACAATAGTTGTGTTTAAGGTTCCAAATAAATCTGATTACCAATTCAAACCCTGTCTATAATCACTTTAGCACATGGCAGTAAGTTACTTCCTGTACTTTCATACAGTTTGTATCGTCACATGTAGTGACTATAGACAGGGTTTGGATTTGTAACTGGATTTACTGAACACTTTTAACACACAACTTGTTACTACACTTTACAAATTACTGTCACATAGACTAGTGTTCTCAGTCTGTTACAGTCTTCACTAGCCGTTGCTTGGCAGCAGCTTCCAGCGGTAGACAAACCCCTTCCTCTGGGTTCCTAAACTGTACCCTGGCCTGAGCTACCAGCTCCTAACAGCAACAGCTCACAACGACTGAACCTTGGCATTTCTCTGATTAACTTACTCTCCAATCAACTCACTCCACTCCACTAACAAACTGACTAATCTCCAATCAACTCACTCCACTCCACTAACAAACTGACTAACTCCTTCCTAACTATCTTGTTTATAACAACTCAGCACAGACCGCAGAGAAAATACCATTCCTCCGTTGCTGTTTACAGACCACTGCCTAGTTATGGCCATTTTCTAGTTGTTCGTCTCATGGTCATTGACTAGCAACAGGTCTACATGTCACATTCACCAACCAATGAAGCAAAGGAAAACTCTGATATGGAAAAATATAAACTCAAGACACTACACAGTGCAGAAGATATTATAAACCCCAACTTGTACTTCTGGAAAAACCTAATGACAAGACAGCTTAGATACATAGTAAGAAGAATATAAAAACATGAGTGAAAAAGGATACAAGTTACTAAGATTTTGGGAAGAATGGAGGAATGGACTGATGAAAAATATTCTAAAATCATGGACCAGAGGAGGTAGGCTAAACTGCAGTTATGAACAATCCGAGGCAAATGAAAGGAAATGACATGAATAACGCAAAATGTAAAAAACAATGAATTTGGAACAATCAGCAGAAAAAAAAATATAAAAGATTCATGCAGGAGGTTAACTGAATTTCAGAATCTCAACTGACCTTTATCGTCATACACAGGTCACATGCATGACCAACAGAACTGGTATCACATGGTTTACAATACATATCACATTATGTTCATGTTAAATTCCAGTCACCGGTGCTATAGCAGCAAGGTTTAAAATCTTTTATTCTCAAACAAGATGAGAATGATATTATAATGCAGATTTCATAATATTCTGAAGAAATGGAAAAGTCAATTAGATCATCAACCATATATACATAAGGCTAATACACCTGGGCAAATTCACATGCATACCTACACTCCTCTGTCTTTAATAAATGATCCTAATTTTGATAAAGTTCAAATTCCTATTTGAAAGTTGAAAAAAAAAAGATATAAATTGCCAATTACTATTCAAATTCATAAATAAAACCCTCAACACAATGCAGTTTCATTAATGAATATTTTAAGAACAAAAAAGACATCATCAGTTACATTTCACAGGTAAATTTAGTCCAGTACATAAGGTTAACGTTGGGCTGTGCCATAGCTCAAGCGGTTAGTCTCTGGCTTCCCACCACAGTGGCCCAGGTTCGATCCCGGGTCTGGTTAAGTGGGATTTGTGGTGGACAAAGTGGCTCTGGGGCTGGTTTTCTCTGAGTACTTTGGTTTTCCCTGCTAATCTTCATTCCATCAAATTCTCCATCATCATAATCACTTGGGGCAGGCTACAATAGGCCAATCAGTGGCTGCCATGCCGAGTGGACCCAGTTGGACCCCCCCCACTAAGTGAGTTAAAAAAAAAAAGGTTAGCATTAACACACTTGCATTCACATTTATTTTCTTTCACTGATCCAATCCTTTCCCTGTAGGGATGGATATAAAATACCGTATTTACGCATGTATAGGCTGCGTGCGTGCATAGGCCACGTGCGTGTATAGGCCGCAGCACAATTTTCAGACAGAAATTATAGAAAAAATAATTTTCTTGGAATATTATTTCAGGAGTAGAAATTATTCCGAAATTTGGCAACGTTTAACATTCCTAAGTTCGCAACTAGGGAAAATAATATTTCGAATATAAGCCGCACCCCAGTTTTCCTCTTGAATTTTTGGCAAAAAATGTGTGGCCTATACATGCATAAATACGGTATGTCACATATTACAAATTCATGATTACATATCATCATACTATAGAACAGAATGTGATACATTCCTTAGTCAAATAACAACAGATTCACAAGAACAGAAAATGAAACAACCATAAACCAAAATTTATAATTTCAGACGCTAGAGACAGAACATGAACAGAATGTTGTCACAATGAGTGATAACTGAAACTTACTCTGATCTTTTCTGCTAATCTCTTTGCCATTTCTGAATTATTCTGGTACCGTATAAATGGACATTTCTTCAGCGACAGAAGAACTGCAGTTATACCTTGAACAGTTCTCTGAAGAAGGGCATGATTCCACATCAAACCTGTGAAGAAAATAACATACTGACTATTCAGAAATGTGACTGTATGTGGAATCCAGGACAAAATTTATACATATATAATAATTACAGCAATCAAGCCATCTCTTCATATTCTACCGCAGAAATATCACCGCAAAAATATAGTATGCAAGAAATTGTACCACAGTGGATATACAGGGTGTCCCAGGAGGAATGTGCCAAACTTCGGGAGGGTGTTCCTTATGTTAAAGTATGCCGATATAACCCAAAACACCTATGTCCAAAGTTGAACGGTTACGGAGATAATGGCCCGAGAAGTGTCAAACTTTGACCGGGGTTACACACTTGTTGATTACAAAATACATATTAAAACTGGCAGGAATATGTGGATTCTGTAATGTTAATAATGTACGTAACATCAAACCAACTTGTGAGTGACGGAAAGCCATAAAATTGAAGTACAAAATACTCGCTCGCCATGTCATAATTGTCCTTAGGTTTCCAAGCAGTATACATAACACATGACTGGCGAGCGATGACGTAACGTGCTGACTGCGCGTTCTGGTATGAGCCAACTACATAAGCACGGCTAGGGAGTATCATCGCACTCAAGGACAAACATAGATAAGGGCTCTCAGCTGAGAGGTACAGCGAGGTACAGTGCTTGGACCTGCCAGAAGACCACACTTTTCTTGGGCCATTATCTCCGTAACCGTTCAACTTTGGACATAGGTGTTTTGGGTTATATCGGCATACTTTAACATAAGGAACACCCTCCCGAAGTTTGGCACATTCCTCCTGGGACACCCTGTATATATTTAACAAACTAACTCCTTCTCTTGTTAACAGAACCATAAGGTTCAACAATAATACTACAGAACAGAATCTGATACATTCCTGAGGCAAATAACTACAGATTCACTAGAACATAAAACAAAACAACCACAAACCAAAATCTATTATTTCAGACACTACGAGACTACACATGAACAGAAAGTGAAATACACAAATTTCTGCCATGATTTTGATAATAATTCACCAAACACAATTCTGCCAAGGGAAACAAGAAATTTATAAGTCTGTTCAACTTAAGTATAGAATGTTTCCAGAATTTGGCTTCTCAAAATATTTGTATATATTTTACACAACTACTGGCATAAGCAATAAACAATATGCCACTTATGAAGAAAGTCGTCTTCTGGGTTTAGGTGCCGTGTATTCTTCGTTTTGGCCGACGTTTCGGAGGAACGTATTGCCTCCATCTTCAGAGTAGTTGAATGGCTTGGAATGCAAAGAGCAGTAGCTGTAGTGACAGGAAGTGAAAGGCGCTGCTTATATACGAAGTAGGCAGGGGGGGTGGTTAGGGAGAACGGATTTCCTGTCACTACAGCTACTGCTCTCTGCATTCCAAGCCATTCAACTGCTCTGAAGATAGAGGCGATACATTCCTCCGAAACGTCAGCCAAAACGAAGAATACACAGCGCCTAAACCCAGAAGACGACTTTCTTCATAATCATCGCCGTGAAAACCTCAAAACTTACAATATGCCACTTAGATTATCTATCCTAACCAGTCAATCTTATAACCATAATAACTCAGAGCCAAAACTCTTATGGAGTTTAGAATGAACAATACATACTAATTTTTACAAACCTTGGGCATATGCTGTGACATTGAGTGAGAAAAGGTGTGGGCTCATTGCCAGATAATCACCATAGAACTCCTGCACCTCACGGACAACTTCTTGTTCATCAGATTCAGCTATAGTTTTTATGTCTGCCTTTGCTATAATGTTACTGAAATCTAAGTCACAACAAAAGGGTAACAGTGTTAGAGGATGAAAAAGTGTCAGAATTTACTGATGATATGAACCATACCACCATAAAGAAGGAACATAAAGGAAGTAACTTTTCAGAAGAATGCCATTCAAGTACAGACACAATCATAAACACAAACTGTTGTGTTTCTACTACTTCTAACCAGCTGAAATACAACAGTCTAGGAGCACTGCACATCCTCACAACTCACAACCTCTGTAGAAGACAATTTCTACCGTGCCTTAGATCAATTTTAATAAAAGGTTAAAACTTCTTAACATGGGGGGGGGGCATATCAGAGTTTAAGAAAATACTTTGAAGGCTACAGCAGAAAAAATGTCCTTCCAGAATCTTTGAAAGTAATGACCTAAAGTTTTTAGAATTTTCTGCCTGCACAAGTTCTTGACATAAATAATTAACATCTTTCCATTCTGCCATGTAATATCCAAACACTGTAGCTGATAGAGCACTATTAAATAATCTACAAACCCAAGAGAACTAATAACCTTCTGTTAACAGAATTCAAAGGTCAACACTGCTAACAATAAATCCTGCCACTGGACACAGTTCCAACAACCTCCCGTCCTCACAGCCTAGTCTCTTAGGTTTCATCTCAATATTAACCACCTTAGTTTTTGAACTGCTACTTTTCAAATATTTTTAAACCAAAATTATACATATGCACTTCTTAACACTTTGCGGACTGCACACCCTTTAAAAGGTTTTTCGCTTTTAAACATGGTGGACCGTTCGCGTGTTAACAGGCTTTTAGAACACAATAAGTTGCAACACACTATACATCGCTCTGGCGCCACCTACATTGCACGCAACCACCTGCAGATGCGTGATAAGATAGTTAGCAGTCAGTAACTTGACCTTGCTGTTTACTTAACTGACTACAAAGGAAAATGCTTTGCCTTCTTCAAGCTGTGTGTATCAGCCAGTAGCTAGTGGGGAGAATGGATCAAGGACAAATTCTCCTCCGATGACCTAGCTGACCTGCCCTGTGAGAAGCATAGTAATGGATTGTCATTCAGACAGCGACAGTGACGGGGGACAACAAAGAAATGTGGCCACAGACAGTAAAAGTGACAGTAGCTCCGACGATAATGCGGGTAATAACATTGCGCGTAGTAACATTTCGGGGACAGCAAAAAATCTAAACAAAATCTAAACCCTGATTCAAAATTGAAATACAAAGCATTTCTGATGAATGTGGCAAAGGCCTGGGCTACAGTCCAGATGGTGGCGGCAGAACCAGGGTCACACAGAGACTGAGTACGACCGGGCCCATCAACTCCCACCCCATGAAGGCCTCATGTGGACCCCCCAGGGCGACTCTTGAGTGATATGCAGAAAAATACCCTCGTGAAAACTGTGAAGAGTGAACATTCCAAGGGGAAGAATACTTCTAGGCAATGCCATGTTTGCCCAGTTCACAAAAAAAAGGAATATGTCTACATTTGCAAGTTCTGTGTAATGCCACTTCACAAAGGGGAAAGTTTCCAGAAATATCACACCCTCAAGCACTTCTAGGAGCATTGGTAAGTGTTCTCCAAAAATTTTGTTCAAAAAATTAATTAGGAGATTTTATATTAATTTTTAAAGTGAACAGTGCACAAGTTAGGGTAGTATGTTTAAAAATGCCAGTCCCCACGGTGATTTAAATATTTAAATTACCGGTCCGCGAACTGTTAAGATCTGAATTTTTCATAGGGAAAACATGAACGTTACAATCTTTTGGGATGTAATGCCATATAATTTGGTAGATAGGTACCAACATGTTAGAAAATTGTACTGTCTCCATCTTCAGGATGAAAACCACAGAGTGCCACATTCCAAATAACTGTAATATTACAAACTTCTTGTTTTCTGTTAGCCCATCATTATCCCTTTACCTGGCTACAATAACATTACATGAGTTGCGCTGTAAGAGAATTCCTCATTATGTACAATTCTCTGTTCTCTACTTGACCTCGCTTATGTTTCCTGATTTAAAAAAAAATACATCACATGACTCTTTCATAAGAGGGTTAATGCTTTATTATACCCTAAAAAAATTAATATTCCAAGGATTTTTGGAGCAGTATGTCACTTGTTTTCTACAGTTAAGCTAGAATTAAATTTATGTCTGGATATTTACAAAGTTTCATTTTTTATGATAATTTCATGAAGACTTGGCTCCACAATATGTGGAGAAAGGAAACTGCATGACACATTTTGGCAGTTTCCTAAAACAGTAGAAATCTTAGTAGTTACATATAACTTACACATGTTGATGTCACTAAAATCTATGCCATCACTTAACAAAGCAACATGTTTTTATGTGTATGGAAGCATTTCTTCATAAATTCTCCACTTCAACACTAGATGGATTTAATACTGGTAACCTATATGCATGGTTTATACACAACAACAGATGATGAGCATATTATATTTGGTCTACCTTTATGGTATGCATCCTGTTGTGTGTCATGGTATCACAAATGGGGCCATCTACACAACAATATTATCTATGAATGTAAACAAAGACAAATTGATACTAATGTATCACCATTCGTTTATTATGCAATGGTGTTCCGCTACAGTACTTACAAGAATTCAGTCTTAGTTCTTGAACTGTATTTTAATTAGGATCCATATTACTACAATTTGTTTCATTTTTGATAGCAAATATTACATTATTGTTAAATATATCTAATAAATACATACTAATTATACTCTAATAACATAGTTTTTAATTTTGTTTAGATATTAAGACTGATAACTTTTATGTAGTTTGGATTCTAATATTGCATAGTTATTAATGTAGTTTTGTCCTTCAAGATAAAAATTAAAAATTAATGATTACAAATTTTTAATAAAATTTTGTTTATATTCACACATATTATTGTTGTGTAGATGACCCCATCTGTGATATATCTTGTCCAGATGACTCTATTATTTGCTTAGTTATAAATATATATACTCCTACAAATACAAGTAATTAAATTAATATGTAGTCACATTTGTTTTTTGGACCAAAAATAATGCAAACAACATAAAAACAGAAGACTGTCAGCTTAACTTACATATATAGTACACTCCATATCTCGGATATCGCAATTCCCAGGAAAGAAGTGCAATATTTTCTTTAGTTGGCCTTAGGAATGTTATGCATTTGAGATGCTTCATACTTTCACGCTGCCCTCCTGAGTCAATTCTTTCAAATAAATATACCTCCTTTTGCAAGATTTCTGATTGCCCATACACCATGCTCACAATACTTGTCTGCAATAAATTTTATATCTGCTATTAAAACTGGACTGATGTGAAGCTTCAGACAAAAAGTATCAATAAGCTGCATCATCCTATGATATCAACAACTGATTATCAAGTCTTTACACACTGTTTTGATAAACACAAATCAACATCAAAGGGTTTCACACCATAACCTCAATATTCTTGAAGAGAACAGAATTTGTTTACATTCCATAGATCATTCATAGTACTAAGCCAATGATGGANTATTACAGCTATTTGCAACCATCTTGTAAAAAGAATTCTATCTTCTGGGGTATAATGCCAGGTAGTTTAGTGAAATTCAACCAACATTTTGAACGAACACATCGGCTTCAACTTCTGGGTTGAGTATTAACCCAAGCAATTTACCAGCATAATGCAGGCAGCATGCTTATCAAACTGTATGTGAAAAAATACACAGAATTATATACACTAGGAAGAAATCTGTGAGCCAACCAATCACCTCCCGCTGACTCTCTCTGAGAAACAGAGCGATCTATAGGAGACATGATTTAGAGTAACAAACATGGACCTCTTGTCCCACTTACAAACATAGTAACATGGGAGAGGAATCAAAAGGGTGTGTGGGCAGAGAAATAAGGAGGGTGGGAGATAAGTTCTGTACTTGGGTTTCAGACATGCAATGGGTGATAAGAAGAGCAAGAGCAGCAGACAGGATGCCAAGAAAGGAAAGAAAGGCTCAGGACTGATGGATGCCCAGAGGGTACAGAATTGCTGAAATAATATGGGTAGTGTACCAGTGTAGTCCGCATTTAGTGGACGTCATATATATGCTTTATGTTTATGCTGTGTGTGTGTGTGTGTGTGTGTGTGTGGGTCAGAATTTGCTTGAAAAGAAGTTAGTATCTGCTTACTACTGCTGTGGTTATGTGAAGCTATCAGAGCTTTAAATACTGAATGGATATATTAGATGACTCATCCTATAACATCAACAAGCGATTTTGTGTTCCTTACCAAATGTTTTCACAAACATAAATCCATATCAATGACTTTCATATTACAACCTCAATATTCTCGAAATAGTTTTTATCTAAAACCCTTCTCTAGAAAGGGTAGAAAATATCATAAACATGATGTGTCATTCACCCAACCTAACCTTTCCCTCTTACCATGACGGCAAACTCAGAGGGGGCGAATTTCATTATCCAAAGACTTACTGTTTGTTTATCCATAAGAAGCACTTTCATACCGGGGCCACTTTCTTCTGCCATTCGAGTTATATACATTTTAACAGCTGCTACCACATTCATTGTGACTGGAACGTCTAAGTTATTAACCTATCAAATTACAGTATGGTAATATTTTTATTTATTCATTGGGGATGATATGCACAACAACTTCCTTCGCATTCCTGCTCCAATCTCTATCTGTTACACAAGGCCCTTAATGCAACCATATGTCGACCGTGTTCTTTCTGACGTTTCTGACTTTCTGACGATCAAGGTTGACAACTGAATAAGCTGTATGAGCAAAATAATCTGGTAAACCTGTGTTTGTTGGGATATTGATTACAAATATTGCAAATTAGTCCTTAATACACCAAACAAAGTCGACGTTGACCAAAAACTACATACGAGGAAAAATAAAACTGACTAAACCAGGCTAGCTTTGAAATATCCCGCACCTATGTTTTGGGCCACGATATATCGCTATACCGTAAATTACCAATTACTGAAGTCGAACATCTCCAATACATAGTTACGTCGCAAGTTCGAATGTATCTTGTAATATACAACTCTTTCCTTCCCGTAGACCCTATTTTGTGATTAATCATTCTAACTCTTCTTTGAAACTGTATTAGTTCCTGTCGCTAACTGTCGCCAATGTTGACGCTCCAAGCGTCCCTAAATTACTAATGGGAATGAATTTATCATTCCCAGAACGCATGGTACCACCCCACTAAACTCTTTGTCTTATTTCCTTTAACACCTTTCGTATCAAGGAATCTAATCAAGTAAAAGAATTCTAGTTCTCGAGTTCAGACATGCCTTCCATGTGTGCCAACTGTTACAGTTCACTAATAAAACATTGAATGATGGAAAATGCAGGAACTTCAAGTGTTGTAAACACACGTAAATGTCTATATTAAATTTTTTTCTTTTAATTTAAAGTTAAAACCTCTGCTTGTAACGGTCATTATCGGTCATTATAGTTGATTTGTGGTAATGTATAAGTGTGCACTCTGTTTTTGATAGAGCTTCACTTTCTCAATTCGTCCTAGCAGAACCTCACATTATGTTACGTTTTAGTACCGGTAACCGGTAGTTGTCTGTTTCATGATTTCAGATGAAAAGGAAAAGTTTCAAAAGTGGCTCTGCGTAGTGACGGAAGCGTTTAAAGTTCTGTCACCTGAACAGCAATTAACAACCTTCTACACTCTTCTACATCAGTGCTCTCCTAACCAACGCTACAATTTTTCAAAACAAATTTCTGGCATTCTGTGCCAAGACATTCTTATTTCACTACCAACTGAGCTCTTGGAAAAAGTTTGCCATTACATTGATGCAAAGTCATTGGTGTCAGCTTGCTGTGTTAGTAAAGAATGGAATGGGTGTGTATAAAGTTGAAAGTGATATTTAGATGTTTTCATTACAATTAGAGAGAACCAGTACATTACCCAGGAAAAGCGTTTAACTAAACTAACCACCAAAAGTGTATTTAATAACAGTGTGATTTGTTTTGTTATAGGTTAATATCTTCACTTAGTGAAGTGTGGTATAGGAAATGTTATCAGATGGGAATTGGCCTTATGAAACAAGATGCTGTAAACTGGAAGACCCTCTGTTTAGCAGCTCTCAAACAGATTGAAGGACTGCACACTGGGTCAGCCTTCCATCATCGAGATATTCGAGCAAGTTGCTTAAGTTTAGAACAAATTACAGGTCTGGATTACTGCGATGGATTTCTTATTGCAAGTAAGGTGGTCATCAGTCACGTACAAGTAATGTATATTGACAGATATAAGGTAATTTTCTTATGAAAATAAGACATTGTTCTTTTTCCTTTATAGGTGCTGATGATCAAGTGGGTATATGGCGTACAGATGACTATGAGCTAATTGGATTGTTCTCAGTGCCGAAAAGAATATCCTGCTTGAAGGTGCAGGATGCTAAGATGTTAGCCTTTGGCCATAGTTCTGGCCATATTACAACTTGGAATCTGGACATCTGTAAAGAGAGTTGTCGAGCTAGCCTATGCTGGGAATATTATGGACACACTGGTGTCATCATGTCTATAAGTCTAAGTACAGATATAGATCTCATATTGACTGGTGCTACAGATTTCATGGCAAAAGTATGGTGCCTTAGCACTGGAAGTCTTGTAAAAACACTTTCATGTCATAGTCACTGGGTGATTCAAGTGACTTTGTTGCCAACATTAGATTGCTTGAACAGCAGAACTTTGTACAAAGGGAAGCATTCACTACTTACAAAAACTAGAGATCATATTAGAATATTTTCATGGCCAAAAGAATCTAAAAATGGTAAAATATTTGGAGATATGAATGAGGTTGAGAAGTCTGTTATAGAGATTCCATTGAATCCAGTGCATAACTTTTACACCCCTGGTTGCTATGTACAGCATGGAAAAGTGTCTTATGTAAAACAGTCAATGGTGAAGGACGATGAAGATGGTAATGCTGAAATTGTGTGTGAGAGTTTGGCTACAAGGACAAGAGTGTGTGAGGTGTACTTGAGGGAGAAAGTAAGGAAACTGTTGGCTATAGGAGAGAAATTTGCACTCATTCTACTGCCCCATAGTCGCACAAATAAATACAACCTACTAGTAATTGATATGTCGAGTGGAAATGCAATTGGAGGGTGTCATCTTCCACATTCCAGGTACTTTCAGGAGGCAATCTGTCAGCTACAATTCAGGCTCTATTTATAATCTCATGACATGGAAACTACATGCATACAACTTTCAGTAGCACTCTATACTTCCTGTAACCACGTACATTAAAAGTTGAATGAATGATACATATCACATCAGCATGCTACATACAGGAGAAATCTTAGTGGGATGTAATACATTTGTATAGATCAAGCATGTCCAACACGTCGATCACGGGACGATTTTTAGTCGATCTCATAGGCCTATAAGGAAATTATATGTGAAAAGCATGTAAATTCACTTGTAAATATGATTATATTCAGATTTTGAAGGGAAAATAAACATTAAAGTAGTCTGTACTTTCAATGTATGTTGCTTTTACAACAAACATCATGTGTCGTGTTATTTTTACCAATATTTTTGCTGAAAGTAAGGTATGACCATAGGAGGGAGTGGTAGATCACTGGCAGTTTTGACACAAGTCGATCACAACCTGCTTGAAGTTGGACACGCCTGGTAGAGATCATAATGTCAAGATTCCAGTACCAGAGATTCAGTTATACCTTGCATAAAGACATATCTCATGTAGCAAAAATGCAAACAGTAATTACAGGTTTCATTGCAAGTCCTAGCAATTTGTATTAACATTCAACATATAAAAGTAAAGTAAAGCCATCCCTGTGCCAGGCCATGAAGGTCCATAGTGTTGTGAGATGTTGAGGGTCCCACATTATCTAGACAGACGGCTCGAAGATGGCGGTAAGGTTGTCAGCCTTACGTGCCGGCCGCACTTTACTCCCCAGGAAAATTATTTAATTCCTGGTACTCATTTCTGTTAGAGGGTGCATAAACCCCAGGGCCTAGTGCAGCTGGAAGGATTAGGTCAACTGAAAAAATCCAGTGACCTCATCGGGACTTGAACCCGCAACCTTCCAACTTGTAGCGTAGCCACATTCAACATATAGTAACAGGAACATTACGGAGTACAGTACTGTAGTTGTGATTCGTACTGTTCAGGAAATGTTTTCATTTAATGCAGACTCAGACTTCATACAGAGCCTTGAATCCAATGCATAATGTAATATCAGTTATCATTTTTAAGATTGTAGTTTTTTATTAGTTATGAACAGCTATATTTCTTTGCTTCCAGTTCCACAACACCAGATTTGGCACAAATAGTGGTGGGGGAAACAGGATGGCTTGATGGACTAGAACAGCTGAAACCAAATGATATGGTGATTGCACTTGGAATGCTTAATGGGCAAATCCGAGTTGTTAAATGGCAGGACCACAGAGACAGACTCACAGGATAAACTAAAGAACTGCTGTGTATAATGTAATAGAAGAAAAGTTTCAATATACACTGGACATAAATTCAGACTATGATGTGAACAATTCCTGAAATGTATTATGTCTATGTCAGATCTGATATAAGGATTCTTACTTGTGCTTATGCATTATCTTTATATATATATATACTACCACAGTCAATAACTTCGTGGAATGGCCGCAAAGCCTTGTATAGGAATTTACTGCCAATATGTTTCAACAATGTTTTCGACAGCTATGTCAACACTGGCAGACTTGCATAGTGGCAAACGGCAACTATTTTGAGGGCCGATGTGGATCTGCGTAAGTGTATGTGAATACCTTGTAATATGATGCGATAAACCACATTCCACGAACTTGAAGACTCTACCACGTATGTGTGTATGTATATATATATTTCAGAAAACAGAAATCTTTATAAGAATTTGTTACTGTACTGTGAAAGCATTTGAAATCTCTTGTAAGGTATGTGCTGGTACTAGCTGTGTCATGATGTCACTGTCTTAATGACAAATAGTTTAAAAATTAAATAAAGCCAGTATATCCCAATATGTGGATATATCAAAATTGACAGTTATCGAGAACTTACATATAGATGATTTTCTTTCCTTCTACGGGCACTATGGTCCATAATGAATCTTGGCCTCTTTTATGAATGCTCTCCATTGGTCCTGATCCCATGAATTTCATCTTCAATTTCTGATGCCCATTATCTTAAAGTCTTCAAATGGATCCAGACAACTGACAGTGGGTCTGCCTACTTATTAAGTACCCTCAGGTTTATGGAGAGTTAATTTTCTGTTCCTGCATTCTGAAAATGAGTCCCAGCCATCTCAACCACCCTACTTTGACCACTGATTTATAGCTACCCTAATTTTCAGTGGTAGAGATTTCTGATGCAAAGTGTGCCAAATGTTGACCCTAAATTTAACTACAGTCCTTGGCATAAGATATACAAAATGCAATAAATAATATTCAAGTCTGGAACCTAAAGCTCAACTACTATGTCCTAACCCAAACTATATCACACCCCCACAATTTGGTGTTTAATGATGTATTCAAAGAGGTAAAGCTGTGCCTGCAACAGGTCATGGAGGCTCCCACATTTTGTAGACAGCTCAGACGGCAGTGATGTCAGCCTTACGCACTGGCCAGCTGCCCTTTACCCCCAGGAAGATTCCTGGTATTCATTTCTGTTAGAGGCTAAGTCCACCCCAGGGCCATAGTGCAGCCTGGAAGGATTAGGTCAACTGAAAAATCCAATGACATTGGGAATCAAACCCACAACATTCTGGCTTGTAGCATAATGCCTCAACCAACTACACTTGAACAGTAAAGCCACTAAGTGCTTTAAGGTTTGAGATTTTTGACACTAGGGATTATTTAGATTATAGTCTTCAGGGGTGTGACACTGTAGTCTTGCAGACATAATATTTCAGAGGAAAATGCTAACTGCATCTTCATAGTTCTACAGTTGAGACTCCTTAATCTCCTCCCATCATCCTTTTGCCTATATAATCTCATTCCTTACCCTACAAGACGACTGCACTTTCTATCTTTCTAATGGAAAAACATGGATAATAATATAACAGGGACCAAGAAAATGTACAACACGTCTGCACTGTATGAAATATACTGCCTGGGTCATTTCAAAAGTAGACTACAAAAGAAATGAAGACCCCAACTTAGAGAAATAAATTCTGTAAAGTAACTATATTTCATTCAGAATGTCTGATTAGTGCATGCAAAAAAAGAAGAAAATGAGACAGGCAGCAGAACAAGTTAAAAGCATAGTTTAGAATACACTTCTACAGTATTCTCATAGCATTCAGCCAAGTACAGCAGTAAGTTACTTTATTACTATGTTGTAAACATTAGTCCCAAATAACTAATTTCTTTGTAGAGACCAAATGGAAAAAAAAATGAAACGGCTCTGCAGATGTACTGAATGAAATGATAAGACTGATGAAATCTTCCTTTATAATAAACAAATGTTAAATTCACATGCACCTATTCAGCTAGGTTATAATATTCAAACTGTAAATGTATGCCCACTAAATAAACAATCTGTATTAAGGTTTCAATGATTACTGTTACTATACAGCTTACAAAAATATTAAATATTTGTACCTACATACTACATTAGAAGAATATAACAAATATGCACTTTAACAGTCTTAAATCAACTGACTTGTTTGCTTTTCTCCTTAACTGCCATTATGTTCTGGAACATGAAATTTCAAAGTACTCATAACATCCCTTCTGTTTATCTCAGAAACCATAAGACTTATGGAGCAAATGTATTAAAACATAAAATGTGTTTAATTTGCATCTATGTTCAAAACATTTCTCAGTCCAATGAATATTTAGCAATATATATATGCAAAAATGCTTGTAGGTCCTCATGTAGTTATCATTAAACATGTCTGACTTCATAATGTTATATTTTAGCGTCCTGTTGCACTGTTTCATCAGTGAACATTACAACACTTGCAGCTAAGAAGGGAACATACATCACAAGACGTGGTTTACACAGAAAATAAGAAAAACGACCCCGTAGTGAATGAACCACATGCAAGTTTTAATTAAGACAAATAAGATGAATTATCTTAACAAGTTTTAGCGAGTGTAAATTTATCATAGTTGACAAATATGGACTTTTTAAATGGTGTTGTGAAAACATGAGGGCAAGCAATGCAATAGATTGACGTAATTGGGACACCTGATGATGGCACTATGTTGCCGAAACATGTTGTGAAGTGACAGGTGAAATTGAGTGCACTACAAGACGGCCACTGTATACATATCATGGATGTCTGACTTCACTGAAAATTTTAAGGTTAACATTCTCCAATATAACAACATTTTATGAAAATCTATTCAGTGGCTTTCTAGTCGTTTCATGCTTATGGATGGAGTAACCTCAACAGACGCTCCACAAGATTTCAAACATGCCTTAAAAGTAGAAAAATCAAGGAAAAAAGTTGTGTGTACTATCTACCAACAAACAAATTTTTAGGAATGTATACTGTAGCAGCAGAATACAGCAGGTGGCATTCAAAACTGTAATAATAATACAAGATTCATAATTTGTTTCACATTTTATTAGAGGGAACACACACATTTACATTAAGCAGTTATTTTGCTTGGGCCTGAGCCTTTCTCATCTGGGTGAGGATGTTGCTGAGCTCCTCACGCTTCCTCTTGGCACGAATATGAGTACCCAGCTAGAAATAAACACAAAAAATTAGTACAATAGGGTGTTGAAATGAAATGTCATGTGACCAACTGTCATTATTGAGCCCAGGTCTGGTCAAGTGGGATTTGTGGTGGACAAAGTGGTGCTGGGGCAGGTTTTCTCCGAGTACTTCGGTCTCCCCTGCCAAACTTCATTCCACCAATTGCTCCACAATCACCCTCACCTATCATCTGGGGCTGGTACAATAGGTCAGAAGCAGCAGCAGTACAAGGTCTTACCGCCCTCCTTTTCGTCGTCCTTACCGCTCAGTGAGACTTCAAGCCTCACGAGCTGGTCGTCACTTATACCTGCCCTTCACGTTCGCCTCTTTGTTGTCTGCACTTTCATCCGCCGCTTCCTTGTAGCTGTCTGGTTCAGGGTAGGGTGTGGGATTGCTCTGAATTTGAGTTTTTATGGGCGCCAGTGGACTTGGGTGAAATCCACGAGTTCGGAACGGGGAAAACAAAGGTGGGGATATGGATAGGTGGGCGTTTGGGGTTCCGACTGCTCAGAAGGTAGGACGAGATTCTGTCTCAGGGCGACTTCTGGGCCTTGCTCACACAAGGAGAGAGAGAACACTGAAAACAACTCGCACTTCACCAATAATGTTGCGTTTATTGTGGATGTTCACTACAATTACCTATTACCCGGCTATAGCACTTTGAATTGTACACTGGACTAGGGCCAACACCGATTTAACGTCCAG